TTTACGTAAATTTCGTAATACCATACAAACAATGTAAACTTCCATTTCACTATTGGGTTTTCCTTAGAAACCGCGTTATACTTTTCTTTGTAACAACAGTAATGGTTTATTAAAGAGCGTGTTGCAAAGTGACTCTAATAATAAATATATTTTTTAATTTTTTCTTAAAAGCTTTAATTACCTATACACTGCCCAGCATAAAATTAGGGTGAATCCGTAATTTGAATTTATTTCAGAAATTATTATTCTTTTTGAACTATTTGGGTGGTACCATCGTTTACTAACTGATTGATTGTCCAATGAAAAAAATTTTTTTTCTCCACAAATTTTATTAAAAGTTATGCAAATGAACAATTTTTCTTTGATATACTAAATAATTAAAATAGGCAATTTTAATTTAATGCGCGTTCTGTTTAAACAAAAGAAATTTTAAGAACTTTAATAGCGAGTATTCCCTCCTATGGCAGTGATAACGGCTTGCAAACGACGCGGCATACTTTGGATCATATTTTGGATAACATTCCGCGGAAGATTGTTCCATTAATACACCAATATGCCGCGAAGCTCTCTTGAATTTGAAAGGGCCGACAATGACTCCGTAAACGTATCTTCATCTTATTCCAAACGTGTTTTATGGGTTTGATATCTAAACTTCGAGCAGACAAATAAATCAGGTGATTTTAACCTCGTCATGATACTTAGTATCTATCCGACCAGTCTGAGGCCGTGTATTATCAGGCATAAATGAATCGCTTATTTATGAAAGGCCTCTTGTCAAAAAATGTAAATTTTGGAAAACAAGAAAAAACTGTTTAGTTTTATAAAAAACGATTTTATACTTTTCTTATTTTTCGAAACATTTTAAGGACCATAAAACTCAAAATAAATCATGTTAGTTACAATTTTTAAAATCAATATTGTATTTTTTTTATTATTGAAAATATGTGACAAAAGGCCTTTCATAAACAAAAGTGTTGTTTTACGGGGAAAGTTTTGATTGGTGGATGAATTTTATACCGTGTTTATTTAAAATTAAGGTTACTTTATTAAAACAGTTCTAAGACAATACAATTAGCTACAACTAATTGCCATTTTATACATTTTTGCTCATTTTGCTACATGCAACTGTAGGCCATTGGGCAAGCTAATTGTAAAGTGACTTGTGTTCTTGAGGCACATACTGCAAAAGTTTCTACAGGTCATTAATTTTTTCTTGATGAATTGGTACCTTTGATTCATGAGTTTTTCTCGCTAATGAGGGAGGGGAGGATGGCTCAGCAATAGACAGTGGATTAAATAATAATTTGAAGTCCACTAGGAAACTAAGTTCCTGTAGCTGGCTGTATATCATGTATCACAATTTTTTTTATTTCAAATCCTTTATAAAAGGTATATAATAAAATACCCAAACGAGCTATATCACAATTACATTACAGAACGTTTTCGGAATGTTAATTCTATCATCAGTCTAACGAAGTATAAATGCTATGAGCTACTTAAATATATGGGTAAAAACCCGTTAAATGTGGTTAATTTATAATTGTCTTACATTTGGTAACATGGCGACGTAGGACTCTATGTCGTAACCTATGTAGCCTTGTAACCTATGTAAGTAACTGAAGAGAAATGTTTTATTTTATTATTTAAAAGTTGATTATAACATAAAACAACAAGAGGTTAATTAATAATCTCCAAACAGTGAATATCTGTCAACAAACAGCTGATCACACAATGTTACCAACACTGCTTTTATTTATGAAAAGCCCCTTGTCATTGACACGAGGCTTTTCATAAATAAACAATACTTTTAAACTAATATATCTGATAAAGGAATAACAAGACACGAGGCTTTTCATAAGCAAACGATGTGTGAACATATGGGTTATTATTTTCTAAATTAAATCTTGCATCGTCTTCAAAAATATTATTAAATGGTAAAACATAGTCTTCTAGAACCTGCGTCAGGTACCTAAGCACAGTCAATGTCTCATTTTTGATAATTACTAACTCCGTGCAAGCATCAAATGATATACCTCTCTATGCCATAACTGACCCTCCATCAAATGTGTATCGGCAATACATGCTTGAGCTTATCTCTCGCCTGGAAATCACCACACTCTTACACTCTTACATTCGATTTGAAATAATTTGATAAATAAATAAGTACTTTTCATGAGTTACAAGTATGGCTATACTGGGTCTACAGACTTCAAAATACACCACTTTTTTTCCACCACAATACAGAAAAATGTCTTTAAAATAAAAATTACTTAGAATTAGTTAGTTTATCCATTTCCGGAATTATTTTAAAAGTATATTTTCCACTCCCGAGAAGGGGTGAAATTTACTCCCCTTTCCTAAGTAAAAGCAATCCTTACCTCAAGTCCAAAAGTAAAGAAGATGATAAGAGGAAAATAAATCAAAATTTTAAAGCAAATCCGTCGTGACGAGGAAAATTACTCTTCAAAACGGTCATTCACTGGAGTATCAGGGACATGTCATTAATTCAAGATACTTGCACAAAAATATAGGCAAACTAAGATAGGGAAATGCTATGGTTATGGAGAATAAATTTAATACACAGTGTCGCCGGCCTTCACCAGCTGTTGATTTCTTACTCAACAGCGTCACACAGAACTTGGATAACATACATCTAAAAACAGTACGAGTATAATATTTCTATAACACATACTGTAGTATAAAAAGTATTGTAAAAGTTGTAATAATTGAGTACTTCAACGAAATGCATAATTAGCTTGGAAAGTACTAACCTTTTTTCGAATGTTTTCTCCTTAAGTGCACATGTCATGTACTTTTGCCATTTTGCCCATTCTTAGTTACAGATATCTGGTGGGAATCTTGACAAATCAAACTCTATATCTATATAAACAAAGCTTCATTCTTTGAATTGATGTATGTAGTAATTCCTTTGTGCACAAATTTTTTCAAGTCAACGGTAATCGAGGTTTCTTGATTTTAAAAAATTTTCTTATTTTCTTCATTAGGATTTTTACGTATTTTAATAGTAATCAGCCATTTTCAATACAGCGCCTTAAAGAGGTTTGTAGTACAAACGTTGATTGAGAGATTGCATCACTCTTCGTGACGCTTGAAATTTTATTTTGTATATATGATTCCTTCATTTAGCTATTTTCATTTTTCTATTATATCTTAAATTCAACACAATCACATAAAGTTGTTCATAATTTAATAATGATCAAGTGATTAGTCACATTATTCATAAAATTATTAGGGCTTTTGCAATATATTTTGTATATATTGCAAATATATATATATATATATATATATATATATATATATATTATATATATATATATATATATATATATAGATTTGCAAATATTATAGAGGAATGCATACAAAGAACTTATTGGAAAAAATTAAAATTCGTTGGTTGAATTATACAAAATTTACATATTAAATAATTTAAACTATATTGACTAATTGTACATTCTTAGAATTATGATAGATACGTTCTCCAAACTTTAAGTATCGCTTCATAGTTCCCTCTGGGACCTTTTTTGGTTCTGTGGCATTTTCCTCTAATTTTCCCGAAACATTTCACCGACCGGACAGGAAAATCGGAAAGCAACTTACGTCGGACAATTTGAAAAATCGCATTTACTGCTGTTTCATTGTAAGTACTCTGGAAAAATTAGCTGGTTATCTACGAATTTCGTCTCAGTATTTTTTCCGATATGTTCGGAAATAATTAAATTATTTTTGAATTATCAATATAAATTAATGTACTAGTAGAGATCCATTAAAATGTTCATTTTTGTAAACGATAATCATAATTTAATTTAACTTAACATAATTGACATTATAAAATATTAGTATAGATAGAAATTATTAATACTAATTTACTTTTAACATTTGAAATGGATTTTATGGGTTTAAAAAATGGAATAGATTATTCAAAATTTTCCACAAGGATTTGACTTTATCATATCTATTAACGAATGCTTATAATATATAGTGTGTCCGTAATACAGTGTGTCCGTAAAGTATGAAATAAATTCCATAATTCCTAAATGAAATGCCTTTTTAAAAAAATCTAATACACGTCGATTTTTAAGTTTAATGTTCTACATTCTACAACAAAATTTCATTATAAAAGATGATACACATTAAGATTATGCGTCATCTTTTTTTAAATGTAATACCCCATATTTTATGAAATTTTTCGATACATAAAAATTAGCTGATTCCAAAAAGTATAATACTCGCAGTCCAATGGATATAATTTGAAAGATATGCGCTTAGAAAATAAATTATTTATTATCAATTTCAAAAAGTATCCTACTACTAGTTTTTAGTGAAATGTAATTATTTTTAGTAACGTTCAATAACAATTAAGTAGCACAGTCTTATATACTAAAACGCTAAGCCCTTTTCTTGTCCACCACTTTACTCAAAAACCATATTAGATAATTAAAATATTTTTTCGGAATATTATTAGTATTACGTAAGAGATTGTCAAGATATACTTTTGGTACCAAAATTCACTTCCGGTTTTGAGATGACCGGAGGTTAAAATTTACTTTAAGTTTTAGACCCCACAATGTATATATCTGTACCGTGGAGGTAAACAGTCGTAACTCCAATTGTTGCCGAAACGGGGTTAAGACCACGCTTTTGTTTCAGGTTTTCATAGCATCTGGTGGAAAAGAATCGTACACCAGCATGATTAGTTGTCTAGGTACGGCGTTTAAAACAACAGCAACTCCATTAGTCAGTTGAGGTAAACAGTAGTATATCCACAGATACGTGCGTACACGATAGTATGCTCTGGAATGCGGTAGTGGTAAACAGCCGTAGCTCAAGTTCTACATTAAATAATATTTAGTTGAGGGTGTTACCACGTGTTACTGTTGTTATTATTTTACTTTATTGCTTCTACTGACGTTACAATTAACATAACTTTTAATGAAAACAAATGTTTACGTCAATTAATTAGTGCAAGAGTGTCTAAGATTATGAACCTCATAGAAACGCGAGATAATTTATTGCAAGGTAAGAAAAAGTAAGACTAGGTACCTACTTTTAGTATTTAGCTATTCAATCTTTGTTAAACTTGTTTTCACTGATACTGCAATGCTAGTTTTGTATGCTGTTACTGTTTTTAATTAATGTGAGTCAATTTTAACCTATATTTATGAAGTAATAATCCATTCTAGTGGAGATACGACTTTTTAGCGTAACAAAATATTGCTTATTTCCGATTATTGATGATTCCCGATTATACGCCAAGTAGTTTTGATGGTGACGACATCAATACGCACGGCATGGAAATTGCAGAAAGCTTTGTACAGAGAGGTAAAGCTGTACAGAAGGTAGATAATCGCGAAACTGCTGGCCCGATTTCTAAATCACCACCACTTCAACTTTTGTCAGAGATTCCAAAAACAAAAAAGCCTATCAAACAAATAAAAACCTGAAAAGTAACTCAACGAGTTGCAGCCACCCAACAAGAAGGAGAACATATTGCTAAGTTTATTAAAAAAATAAAGCAATATCGATAAAACCAGGTTGTGCATCATGTAGAAAAAATTGCGTAAACAAATTCACCGACGCAGTAAGAAGGCAGATTTTTGAATCTTTTTGAACGAAACAGGAAAGTTTAGAATTAAAACGCCAATTTTTGGCATCACACATTACTTCCAAATCTACAGATCGTCATAGACCTACAGACGGAAGCAGACATGATCAAAGAAAACTTTGATAAAACCATAAGTTATAACTTTGATATAAAATCAGGTAATACAAAAAGTTGATGTTTGCAAAGTATTTTTTCTTAATACACCAGGCATATCTGAAACTGTGGTTAGCAACGCCATGCAAAAGTAAGATACTGGGGAATTTGTATCGCTGAAAATGGAAGTAGACATGTTCCGCCTAACAAATTAAGCGATGCAACTCAACAGGGTACGCTCACACATAGATTAATTTCCTTGTTATGAAAGCCTCTACACGATGCGATAAATTTAGTTAAAAGCTCAAACAAGGTGATCAAGATAAGGCAACAGCTTCACGACGCTGATATTAGGTATACTGAAAAGAAGAACGACAAAATAACAAGTAAGTTATCAGCTGATAGAACCAAAGTGATTATAATCGACCTACAAAAATGTCTTCCAACCCCTTACCTGACAAATAATCAAAGCTTTTACTCGTTAAAGCTATTGACACTAAATCTGACAATTTATAATTCCACCTCAAATAAGGATTACTGCATGGTGTGGAACGAATCGAAAACTGGAAGGTTCTACGGTAGAACATTTAATTATTTGGTCGGACCGTCGTTCCAGTCAAAATCGTAATATAATCAGATAAATGTTCAGATAACTATGGCAACTAAAAATATGTCCAAATTTGAAAATAATAGACCACAAGTTTTTGTTGAGAGGGCATACACACATGGAATCAGACCATGTTCATGGTTTAATTGAAAGGACGTTAAAAAACAAGCAACCATGTAAATCGTTACGCCTTGGGACTGGCAGCAGTTAATCCGCTCTACAGGTGCAATTGTGATTGAAATGGAGGTATCGAATTTCAAAAATTTCGAAATATTGTATGCCAAACCTCAAACACTCACCATGTATTGATAAAAAACAGAATAATGAAAAACAAGAGTTCCTTATTTCAACTCTGGTGCACTTTCAAATTCGCGCTGCGTCACCGTTAACTATTTTTTATAAAACAAACTTTACAAATCAAAATTTTATGTGTTTAAATGTATCAGATCAGCGAGAACTCAAATTTCATTCCCTGAACAATTGCCTGGTATGCGTACGAATTGTAAAGATATCAACAAAAAAAAATACGAACATGTATTAAAGCTTTGCCAGTGTGACCAGACATTTAAACTTGGTTTTTGCATTTTTAAACACAGAATATAATATTTTTGTCAAATCACTTACTATTTTTATTTTGCATATTACCTGTTTAAAGCCATTTAGGTAAAAAGTCGTAATTCCCAGTATCGTAAACCTGGTAAAGCATTTCTTAACAATACTAATATCTAGTAATAGATTGCCATTTACGTAGTGTAATGTGACAATAATGTTGAATTCAATAAAATGGAAGTACAAATTTTTTTATAGTTTATTGACTAGTCTCATGTTTTGCGCTTTCCTGCAAATGTATACATTATGGATATACGACTGTTTACCTCCACGGTACAGATATGGATCGAAAGGTCTCGTCGAGACGAATCTTAATATGTACTTCCGGTTGCGATCCGACACCGGAAGTGACCCGAAACGCGCATAAAACGTCAAGATAGAGCAAATCTGACACCGGATTCGTAATCAGCATGCAAAATGACTGCTAAATGATATCTATGTCGACATTTGATGAACTAAAAATTGCATTCCGGTTTTGAGGTCGACTTCCGGTTTCGTTTTTATTAAAAAGTAAAAAGTAACAGTTTACATAACTCCCGGTGCCAAGCAAAAGTTTTGTATTATATATAAAGTGTAATGTCCTGTATTATTGCTTAGCGATAATTTGAAGTAGGAATGAATTTGAGTGTCAAGCAAAGAATTTAAATAATCATGATGATTGGATATGGAGACAAATCGCAAAATCAGATGAAAGTGTGTAATTAATTTAAAGATAAATATCCATTAGAAGTTCTACTTGCTTTTGAAGATGATATGCACACGTCTGTTCGTAAAGTTTATCGTGAACTCGATGTTTGCAAAACAACGGTACTATCTTGGTTCAAGATATTATTTTTTCTGATGAGGCTACATTCACATTGTAGCATTTGCGATTCATTGATTTTTTTGGTGTATATTGAAATCTCCTCGTATATGTAATATATTAAAATCTCCTCATATATGTTTGAAAAATCGAAGGAAATTTTTAATGTATCTTTCTATCGTACCCATTAAAACCCAAATATGTTTTTAATTCCTTCTTAAGTCAGCTTGAGAATATAAACCATTTTATAGTTTGTTAATATTTTACAGATGTTACTTCTTCGATATTTATTTTAATGTTTTATTCAAACTGCTTATATATATATATATATATATATATATATATATATATATATATATATATATATATATATATATATATATATATATAAATATATATATATAAATATATATATATATAAATATATATATATATATATATATATATATATAATATATATATATATATATATATATATATATATATATATATGTATATCCGGGATTTGTCGGTCTGTTGCAAATAAAACTATTTAATTATTGCTTAAACGTTTTGGCAGATTAGCTATTTTCAATAAGCACTTTGTTAACTTTATTTTATTAACATTACATTATACAATTAAGTTTCACGTTTACACTTTTTAAGAGTTTAACGTAAATTAAATTTAAAATCAAAAACTGGTATCTGGCATTGACAGATGACATCTGGCAGGTGTCTTAAAATAGCAGTGGGTCTGGTTCGTATCCTTAACATCTGTCATAAAGCATTTAAAAAGAACTTAATATACTCAATTATGATTGGAAAGATCTTTGATAACAGTCTTATTATTGATAGAATTTGGATCTTTTTATGTAAATCATCTCCAATATGCATATTTTGTTGTAATTTTGTTCTTTTTCCAACATCTGTACATTTTCAAAATCAAAAGAATGGCTATTTTCTAGAGAATGTTTGGCTAGGGCTGTTATGTTTAATAAATTGGTCCCAATATATGTTGAATTACAGTCTTTACAATTTATTTTATAAAAAAAATTGATTGATGGTCTTTATTAACAATGGGTATAAATTAAAAAAAAAACATATTTTTCAGATATTTTTGATGATTTATGTCCAACAATAATATTATACTTTGCCAACATTTTTGATATTTGTTCAGAAAATCCATTAATATATGGTAAGGATATAAAGTATTTGTTTGAGTTAGGGACAATATTATACAGATTTAGCCATACGGCTCATACTCCCTCTAAGGGGAAAATCCACTCATCCCAGATACCTAGGGCATGAGAAGGATTGAACTCTGGTGACTTGGTACGCTGGAGTAGCTTCCAAAAATTTTCGTAGGTACACACCTGGACGTTGAAAAAGTACAGCTTTCTGCATGGTCTTGTAGAGATGTTAATTTAGACCAAGCTTTTTTATGTTTTCTTGGAGGTTCTTCGGAATAACTTCAGTAGTAGGGAGAATAATAGGTATTGTCTGGTTATTTTCCATTCTCCACTGTCTTTGTATTTCAATTTTTAGACCCCTATACTTAACGATCTTTTCGTTTTGTTTAACACGAATATTATTGTTGTTGAGTATCGTCACATCAATAAGTGTTGTTTGTCTCTTAAGTTTATTAACTGGTATAATATCTGGTCCATTATGTGCGACTGTTTGGTCTGTACGCAGAGGGCGTTTCCATATTTTTCGATTCAGAGCGGTGGCATATGCCGCTCTGATGATACCTAAATAGGTTCAAATACGTATAAGCCGCTTGCCGCCGCCCTGCATCGAAATAAAAATCTAATACCGTCATTATGTTTTATTTCTTTACTCTGTTTGTAGTACCAGAAACTGAATTCACTACGAATTTTGACCATGATGAACGGCTTGTGGAAAGCATATGTTAGATTCCCTTGCCGACCAATTCATCAATCTGTTTGCTTAGCAAGTTGTAGAAAGCCCAGTGGTAAATATTTTAATTCTCAGTTTCGCTAGGTAAGAAATCTTATGATTTCTCTTGTTGATAAACTGTCTGCTATACGGGAGATATAGGATCACGTACTAGGAAATTTGAAAAAACGAGCAGTTGATTCCTTATCGTGAAAGATGTCCGTTCAGATAATATGTTTCCTCAAAACCCGACAAGCATAAAATGAAAATATGGTGGACATGCGACTCAGAAGCTTTTTGTCCTCTAAATGCGATTCAATATCTGGACAAAAAAGATAACCCAATAGATACTGGTTTGGGACGTAAAGTGGTAGAATTACTAAGCTAACCTTATTCCCGAACCAACAGGAACGTAAATTTTGATA